GGTGATGGATAGACAGATTTATTATAAGGAATTAGCTCACATAATTATGAAGGCTGAGAAGTTCCAAGATCTGCTGAGTGCAAGATTATTGGAGAACCAATGGTGTAAATTCCAATGCAAATGAGGAAGATAGGCAGAGAGAATATTCTCCCTTCCTCCATCTTTTGTTCTCTTCAGGTCTCCAACTGATGGGATGAGGCCCACCCATCCCATGGGGAGGGCAATCTATGTTCCTCAGTCTACTGACTCAAATGGAAATCTCATCCAGAAACACCCTCACAGACACACTCGGAATAATGTTTGCCCAAATATCTGGGCAACCTATGGCTTTGTTGAATTGACACATCAGATTAACCATGACATCCCTCCCTAAAATTCTTCAGTGCCTGCCCCCCTGCCCCGCTCCCAGAGCCTGCGGTATAAACCTCAATCTCCTTGGTCTGCCCTATGGGGTCTTTCACCGCCTGGCCTCTGCTGGTCTTTCCTGCCATTGCTCTCCACCCCAGACATTCTGGATTTCGGCTGCCTCCTCTTTGCTGAACGGTTGTTCTCTAAGTTCGTCCCCTTGGAGAAGGCCCACTGGTCAGTAGTGAGGGTTCTAGCTCATGCCTCAGGCCTCTTCATCTCCAGTGAATCTTCCCACCTCTCTGGTCCTGCCTGGAGGCCCAGGGTCGGACGCCACAGGTTGATGGTGTCAGGCACCCCGCTCAGCCATGGGCAAGGGCACAGTTTTGGCTCAGACGTATGTTTGCATGGGTTTCCAGGTCTCCCTATTGGATCTGTCTCCTGGCCCAGGACCCCAGGACTCAGGGAGGAGTCCTGGCGAGCGGAAGTGGGGCCGTTTTCAGTGAAGATGCGAGGCTGCAGGACAGGAACCTCGGAGCATCCATGTTGGTGATACGGGGTGGCATGAGGGGGTGAGGCTTGCTGTCTTCTGTCTTCTGGAGGCAGCAGGAGGTTTTGTCTTGAGTATGTTTGAGACCCTGCAGGGCAGTCCTGAAACACCAGGGCCACCAGGGGGCACAGCCCTTCGGCAAAAAGCAGGGGCAGGAGTGGAGGAAAGATGCGTGTCACCGTGTCTGTGTTTGCTGCAAGACCAGGAGGCGAGCTGGAGCCCCCTTGTCCCCCTGGCTTCTCCACACCCTCAGGAGCAGAGCTCCGGGGGCTGGTGGATTCTGGTAGGTGCAGGCGTCATCCCCGTAAGCCGAGTGTCCTTGGCCAGGAGCTTTGCCTTTCTGAGTCTCTTGTTTTGTCACTCACCAAATGGGACGGTGATGTGGGGTTTGTGAGGCTGCATGTAAAGGTCCAGGCTTGGGGCTCGGCTCATATGACAGAGTTTCAGGGTACAAAGGAGCTTCTAGCCGAAGCACTCCCTGACTACAGTTCTGGGCTGAATTACTCGGCTTCTTGCCCCCTTGGCGCCTCAGTGGGTGTGTCAGCAGTTGAAAGTTAGAGCCTGGGGCATTGCTTGGGGGGTGCCCATTCCTCAGCTGCCTCATCTGAGCTCTGCAGCGCTGGGGGAAGCAGTGGTCCGAGGTCTGCTGACCGCCTGAGAAGTCCGAGGCACCAGGGGCCATGCTGGTGGCCATCTGTTCCTGAGTTGTTAGGGAAGGGGGTTGTTGTCTGTCACCTCATCCTCTGGGACAGTTTTGGCCATACCTTTGAGAAACCCCCGGGGTCCTCGGGGTCCTACCCTGGAGGGCTGCTAGCTGGGATAACCAGGCTTCTGCAGAGGCCTGGATGTGGCAAGATTCCTGGGATAAATCTCTGGTTGTAACGGACACGCCCTCACCTCAGGAACTGTGGGGGGCTGGGGATGGTGGGGGTGCGTCTCCAATGATACAGCCATGTGTGGTCAGGGGTTTCGGCAGACCCATGCATCACCCACAGGAGAATGGATTGATTCGGAATCCCAGCCAGGCCCAGGGGCCTCTGAAGCAAACCCTGGTCTGGGATGTCTTCTTGTCCCCCCTCCCCACCCAGCTTTTCCCTCTCTGGAGGGCTTGGAGAAAAAGCATGAGAAGAGACCACAGCCAGGCCCTCTCCTTGGCCTCCTGGGCACAGTGGGGTTGCTGGCTGCCCTGGAGCCCCAAGGCCCCGATGCCTGCCTCATGGCTGAGCTGGGCTGTGTGTCGGGGCCACATGTCGCCTGGCCTTGGGCTGAGCCTCCCGGGCATCAGCCTTGGGCACCACCTAGGCTGCTGACCGTTCCCCCACAGCTGTAGGGCCCCCCCACCCCCTGTCATTGAACCCAGCTGCAAGGACTGAGGTCAGGTCAGCAGGAGGACAAAGGGGCTTCTGTAGGGAAGGGCCATGCGTGCTGGATGTGGCCATCAGCAGGGCACCATTCCTGTTGGGGCTCTGAGGCTGCACCTGGCCAAGGGACACTGTGATTTTCACCTAGGGAGCCGCCAAGCAGGTGTCCGAGAGAAGGCCCTCCTCTGGGCTGCCCTGGGGCCTCGACCCAGCAAACTGCTCAGAGAAGCAGAGAGCAGGTTCAAGGGCCCCCCTGGGTGTACCAGAGACACAAACACACTCAGCCGGAGCCCCCTTCGGGCCCTGCCTTTTCTGTGGGGCTCATCACGGGCTGCCTCCCTCTCACCTGCCCAGCGGGGGGGTGAGTCCCAGCCTTCCCCTGCCATCCTGCTCACCCCCATTCTCCACTGAGCCACTGAGGGGCTGGAGGGAGCGGGCATGGAGATGGTGGTGGTGGGGGGTGCTGCACTTGTGACTGGACTGACAAGGTGGGAAACAGCATGCCAGGCAGTGGGAACAGCATGTACAAGGTCACAGAAGCAGGAAACAGGGAACAGTGTTTCTTTTGCCTTGGGGCCCCAAGCCTGGGGGCTGTAGGGCCCGCAGCTCCCTCTATGGGTGCCGACAAGCTTGATTTGCCACTGGAGCTGCGACTGTGGGTGCTGTTCTGCTCTCTCCAATATGCTTTCCTCATGCTCCCCACAGCCTGGGGGGAGGTTGCTGCCATCTCTGAGCGGGAGAGAGCAGGGACTGAGCTGGGCCTTGGCTACAGGGAGGCATGGCTGTGGGGGGGGGGCATTTGGGGGCTTGGCTTTGGAGAATGAGCTGGTACCCTGGGCCTGGGTGAGGGATTGTAGGAGGCAGGGGAGTCACCGTGCCCTGCTGCCCCCCAGGCCCCTCCCAAAGCTTAGCACTCTGGGGTTTCCTCTCGGGTCCTGGGGTTTCCTGCACCAAGTCGCTTGGGAATCGGGAGATGGACATGGAGCCAAGTGAGTGGCAAAGCTGGGCCCTTGGGGGTGAGTGGGGAGCCTGCTCTGGAGTGTCCTGTCTCCCTGGGGCTGGGGTAGGAGACAGCATCCTCTGGTGGACACTGGACTCTGAGCAGGCCTCCCTGAGCTCCATCGGCATCGGCCCCGGACCGGCCGTCATGTGTCTCCAAGACCGCGGACCCCTGTGACCTTGCTCCCTGCCTCGGACGGGCCGTACTCAGGGTGACCAGGAGGCGGGGACAGTGGCTGCTGCTGTCTGCAGAGGGTCCTGTCATAATGTTGCCCAAGGGATGCCAGGGAGCGAGGGATGCGATGAGGAGGGGCTTCTAGGCAGCTCGTGGGGCCCCAGCAGGAGCTGGGTGTGGTGTAGGGCAGGGCGGGAGCCTGCGGCTGGCTGGAGCCCCATCCCTATCCCCCCGCTCTGGGGTCTCAGATGCAAAGGGGGTGGGCTGGTCTGGGCAAAGAACGTTCTCATGCCTTCCGGGGCCTTGCCGAGGTTCTGGGTTTGCTGAGCAGAATTCCCCGAGTCTGAGGAGGCACCAGGATGTGTTGGCTGCTCTGTCTTTGTCTATGGCTCGGAGGGGACCCAAGTCCGTGCCACCAGGACAGCCATGTCTGGCACTGTGAGGGGGGCCTAGGCGCTGGCCAGCGTGGGTCAGTGCACCCCAATACACACCCCCCACTCTGCCCAGCAGGCCCTGACCGGGAGAGGATATGGGGGTGCACATCATACTCCCTGCCTTCCTGGCTGGGGGACCTGGTCACGTGCTGGGTGGGGGTTCAGCAGCGCCATGGCCCGTCTCCTCCCTGGCACAGAAACTTGACTCAGTGTGTGAGGGTCTGGGGGTGGGGGGCAGCCCAAGGGGGAACCCACCATGGGGCTCCTCAACCCCACCCCACCCCAAGAAGAGACGTGTCTGGCCACATGCAGGGCTGTGGGTGTCCATGTGCCGGGCCCTGTCAGCCCAACATGGGCTCTATGGAGTGGAAATGGCCACCATGGCCCTCTCTGGACCCGAGGCCACAGCATCTCCTGCCTCCCAACAGAAGCGCCTCCCAGGCCCACGAGTGAGAAGCAGCGTGGACATGGCGACGCAGGGTGTACGCACGTGTTTATACCAACTCTAAAGTTTACAGTGTCCTGTACATGTTGTCATTCTTGTGACTCAAATTTGTCCTGTGACCTGTGTCACAGCTGTCACCGGAAAGCTGTCCCCTGATACCAGCAGGATCCGGAAAGGGGGTGAACTGGGCTGCAGAAACCAGCCCATCCCGGGGTCGGGGGGTGCAGGGTAGGGTCCATCAGCAGAACGACAGGGGCCGCTGGTGGTGCCTGCTGGAGATGTGGGCGCTCCCAGGCCACCTGGGGACAGACGGGGTGTCAGCCTCAGTGCTGCTCATCACCCAGGGACAGAGTGACACCGCAGTCACCCAACGCTCTGGGGGCGGTGCCACGTCCTTGCTGAGGATGGACCGACTGGCTAGCAATGTGGCCCCCACCGTCCTAAAGGCAGAGCCCCTGAGGCATGTGCTACCCGCAGGTCAGGAGGCCCTGGGCCCTTCCCCGGAGCTGAAGTTCCACAGAAGGTGGAGAAAGGTCTCCCGGGCCGTGTGGTTGCTGGGGCGGACGCCAGGCCGTGGGGTCACGGTTTGCAAAGCAGTGAGGTGCCAACACCTCTTATTTTCTGCCGGGCCGGCTAAGGCAGGGCTGTGGAAGGCTTCTGCTGACTTCCTCCTTCCTCCTCCTCCAGCTTCTCACGTCTTCCCCAAAATAGAAGATCTGCAGATTTAAACATGTTCGGGGTGGTGATTATACTTCCACCCGGCATGTCACCTGCTAGGCAGGCAACTCCCGCCCCGGAGGGGCTCTGTACAACCCTCTTGGCTCAGTTGTCAGAGCCCACTGCTGTGGGTCCACGAACCTCCACTTGGCTGCATTTGTAGGCTGAACAAGCAGGAGGGGGGCTGCCTCACTTTCTGGCATAAGAATATGGACTGGGGCGGGGGGGGTCCTGGACCTGGACACACATCTTGACAGCCCACAGGGGCAGCCTTCAGCCATGGATATTGGGGGACGGTTTGCAATCCCAGCCTCCCTCCCACCCCAGCGCCTGAGTTCTGCCGCCACCCCTAAGAGCCTGGCCTGACCTGCCCCCCTCCCCGGGGACTTGGGTATCCACAAAGCCCCTGGGCCCTGGCCTGGCCCTAAGCACCCATACCTCTTCCCCCTGCCCCCCACCGTCAGCCTGTCCCCACTTCTGTCTTGGCTCACAGACTCACCTTAGAGATTTCCACCTCTCTTTTTCTGTTTGGTTCTCTGGGCTCTCACTTTCATAAGAAGCCAAATAAAGACCTAGTCAGGAAGCAAGGTGAAATTACACAGTTATGTTTGGTGATAATAACCTGTTCTACACCGGAGTCTGACCTGCTTTTGGTTCCTAAATTAAACTAGCTGCAAGGGAATCTGTAGACTCCCATGCAGTCCTATGAACCGATTAATACAGAGAGGTCAGTGTACCCTTTCCCTAGTTTCTCCCCATGGGAACCACTTGCAAAATTATAGCACGGGACCACCAGCGGGATGATGACATTGGCACCATCGGGACACAGAACATCCACATCACGAGCAGGATCCCTCATGCTGCCCTCGTAAGGACCACCCACTTCCCTCCATCCCACCCCCTTCTTAGCCCCTGGCCACCACTAATAGGTTCTCCATGTCCAGATTTTGTCATTCTGTGAATGTGATATAAGTGGGATCAGTACGTAACACTTGGGATGGGTTCTCTTCTCTTCACTGGGAGTAATTCTCCGGAGTTCATCAAAGCTGTAGTGTGTATCCATCCTTCACTCCCTTTTCCTGCTGTACAGTATTCCACAGCACGGATATACCACAGCGTGTCTTTAGCCACTCACCCACTGGAGGACATCTGCCCTGTTTCCAGTGTCTGGCTACAACAAATCAAGCTGCTATAAACATTGGAGTGCGGGTTTTCGTGCGAACATGAGGGTTTGTTTCCCTGGGACAAATAAATGCCTGAGAGCACAATTGCTGAGTCAGGCGGTAGTTGCGCATTTAGTTTTTTGAGAAACTCTAACTAGTTCTACATCCCGAAGATTTGCTGTTGTTTTTATTCTTCCTGAAAGTTGTACAGTTTTACATTTTGCATTCGGGTCTGTGATTCATTTGGAGTTAATTTTTTTGTAGAAGGTGTAAGGTTGAGGTCGAGGCTCACTTTTTGGCTTATGGATGTTCAAATGCACCATCACCGTTTTGGCAAGATCTGTCTTTCCTCTGTTGTATTGCTTTCTCTCTATTGTCAATCATCGGGCATTATCTGCGTGGGTCTATTCTTGGGTTCTTTATCCTGTCCCATTGATCCATGTACCTGTCTCACAAATACTACATGGCCTTGAGGACCATAGCTGTATTCTATCAGCTTCACTATTGGGTAGAGTGATCCCTCCCCTTTTATTCTTTTTCAAAATTGTTTCAGCTCTTCTAGTTCCTTCGTCTTTTCATATACATTTTAGATCAATTGTGCCTTTATCCGCAAAAAAATCCCGTTGAGATTTTGATAGGAATTGCATCAAACCTGTACTTAAATTTGGGGAGGAGAATTAGTATCTTTGCTATGTGAGCCTTCCCATTCATGAACATCCTGTCTCTCCATTTATTTAGATCTTCTTTGATTTCTGTCATCAACAGTTTTTGGCATACAAACCTTGAACATATTTTGTTAGATTTACACCTAAGTATTTCATGTTTTTGAGTGACTATACTGAGTGATGGGATTGTATTTTTAATTTCAGTGTCCACATATTCATTGTTAGCACATAGAAATATAATAGATTTTTGCATCTTTATCTTGTATTCTTCAACTTGTGCTTAACCACTTAATTCTAGGAGTTTTGCAGATTCTTTGAGACTTTTTACATTTTCGCAAATAGGGACAATGTTAAGTCATCCTTTCTGATCTGTATTTTCTTTTCTTGCCTTATTGCATGGACTAGATCTCCATTACTATCTTGAATAAAAATGGTGGGAGTAGATATTCTTGCCTTGTTACTGATCTTAGTGAGAAAGCATTCAGTCTTTCACCATTAAACATTATATTAGTGGAAAAGTTTTTGTAGATGCAATTTATTAAGTTGATAAATTCCCCTCTATTCTTATTTTTCTGAGAGTTTTTCCCATGCCTGTGTGTTGAAATTTGTCAAATGCTTTTCCTGTATCAATTGATATAATCAAGTGACTTTTCTCCTTTAGCTTGTTAATATGATAGATCACACTGATTGATTTTCAAATACTGAACAGCCTTGTATCTCTGGAATAAACTCATTTGGTAATGGTATGTAATTATTTTTTGGTATTGCCAAATTCTATTTGCTAAATTTTGTTAAGAAATTTTTGCATCTATATTCACAAGGGATCTTGGTCTTTACTCTCTTTTTCTTTACTGTCTTTGTCTGGTTTTGGTTTCAGGGCAATACTGGCTTCATAAAATGAACTGGGAAGTCCTCGCCTCTTCTGTTTTTCTGAAAAAGATTGTGCAGGATCCGTATTAAGTCTTCCTCAAATGTTTAAGAGAATTCTCTAGTGTAACCATCTGAGGTCAGAGATTTCATTTCTGGGGTGTTTTAGAATTACAAATGAGATTTTCTTAATGGTCATAGGGCTATTCAACTGATCTTTGTGTTGAGTTTGTGGTAGTTTGTGTTTTTTAAGGAACTGGTCCATTCCATCCAACATGTCAAATTAATGTGTGTAGAGTTGTTCATAGTATTTCCTTACTAGTTCTTCAATGTTGGCAGAGTCTGTGGTGATATTCTCCATTTCAGTCTTGATATTAGCAATTTCTGTCTTCTACATTTTCTTTGTCAAGAGGTTCTTTGCTGGAGGATGGCAATGTTACAGTTCTTTTCAAAGAACCAGCTTCCTGTGAGCTACCTGAACAGTGTTTAGAATTCCATTTTGATTTATCTGTAGTAAATTCCCGAGGGATAATTTCACTGGATATGGAATTCTGGGTTGGCAGTTATTTTCTTGAAGCACTTGAAAACTATGCCACTGCCTCTGGCCATCGTAGTTTCTGATGAGAAATCTAATGTCATCCAAATCGTTTTGACCCTGTAGGTAAAGTGTCATTTTTCTCTCCGTGCTTTTAAAATTTGTTTCTTTTTCTTTGGTTTTCAGAAGTTTGACTATGATGTATCTTGGTGTGGGTTTCTTTTGATTTATTCTCTTTGGGATTCACTCAGCTTCTTGAATCTCTAGGTTTATACCTTTTCCAGATCTGGGGACTTTCCAGGCATGACTTCTTGGATGATTTTTTTCAACGCTGCCTGTTTTGTCCCCTTCCTTTCCAGACTCTGATGACAAGAGGGCTAGATCTTTTGTTGTAGCCCCGCAGGCCCCTGAGGCTCTGTTGTTCAGATCGTATAATTTCTATTGTTCTGTCTTCTAGCTCACCAGTTCTTTCCTTTGTCCTCTCCATTCTGCTTCGGAGCCCATCCACTCAGTTTTTTATTTCAGTTATTGTATTTTTCAGTTCTATAATTTCCATTTGGTTCTTCCTTATGTCTTCTGCTTCTTTGCTGATACTTTCTATATTATCATTTATTTCAAGGAGCCTCAAGATTGACCTGATTGCTAGGTGGGTCCTGCCACAGGGAGCCCGGAGCTGAGGGCAGGACAGGATTTCTGTCGGGGGCTGTGACTGACCCAGTCGGGGCTCAACCCAGCTTAGGTCCCTTCTCCTGCTTTCTCTACTTTTTTCAGGGGACGGGGAGGGAGAGGAGGAAGAAAGGTCACTGGAAGGTGCTGGTCAGAAACGCCAGGGTTTTATTTGTATGTTCATAGCCAAATTGCCACTTTGCACATAGTAGGCTCTCTAGAGATACTGTTGGCCAAAGAAAGGAATGAAATGCCCTTCTCTCACTCCTCTCCCTGCCCCAGGCCCCCCACCCCTCTCCTAATATGCCTTTGACACATTTTATTGCCCAACCTCTATTGGCTAATTGTTATTAGCAATCATCTCAGTAACCAGTGTTGTAGGTTGGATAATGGTCCCCAGAGATATCCAGATCCTAATTCCTGGGACCTGTGAATATTTACCTTCCATGGCCGAAAGGGACTCTGCAGATGGGATTAAGTTAAGAATCTGGAAATGGAGGGATTCTCCTGGATTATCCAGCAGGACCCTAAATGCCACTGCAAGTGTCCTTCTAAGAGGGAGACAGAGGGAGCCTTGGCCACAGGAGAGGGAAGATGATGTAATGGTGGAAGCAGAGGTTGGAATGATGTGATCTGAAGGTGTAGGAAGGGTGACTAGCCAACGAATATGGGTGGCCATAAATACAAGTCATAACAGGCCAGGAAACAACCCTCCCCTCAGAGCCTCCCAAAATAACCAGCTCTGATTTCAGCCCAGTGCAACTGATTTTGGACCATAACTTCCATAAGGGAAAGGGGATAAATTAGAGCTTTTTTGAGCCACCATGTTTGTGGTGATTTGTTACAGGCCCAGTAGGAAACTAACACAAACTAGTATCAATGGAGGGCTGTCCTGTGGGCTTTGCCTGTGCCAACTCAAGTAATTCTCACTGTGGCCTCCGAAGTAGGTTCTCTCATTACCCCACTTTATAGATGCAGCAGGTGAGGCTTAGAGAGGGTGAGGCACCTGCCCAGGGTCACACAGCTTGCTGGGGTGGGAGCAGCTCAGGCTGGTTTATCCATCATGCTGCTGGGCTTCCAGTTACAGGTGAGACCCCTCCAAAAAGTTACTGGCTCCAAAACATAAGAAAAAACTTGAAAGTATTAACACTTAAAAGCAAAATCATTAAAATGATTCTTCCCCTAAGTTTTTCTTTTTGGCAGAAAATGTTCTCCTGAGCATGAGTGGGGAATCCCTTCATAAGATGCTTGCTGTGAAGAGGAGCCAGGCCTCCTTTGTGCTGAGCAGGGGCCTCTCAGGGTGGGTTGAGGGTCTTGGATCCAGGAAGCAGCTAACCATGGGACCACACCACCTCCACTGGGATGATCAACTCGGGCCCAGATGACCACTTGCTTCCAGCACTTTCTCTTCCTGAAGGAGGGGACTCCTGGAGTAAGCTTGCTTAGCAAATTCATAAGCAAATTTGTCATATTTGATAAATGATCAGATGGGAATGCTGATTTACTAGAGGGGATAGACATGAACGGCACTCTGGAGAAAAGATGTCTCATATGTGTGCGTACACACACACACACACACACACACATACGTACACATACCCAGCTGTGGAAAGACTCACAGTGAGCCAGGGCTCCACCTTCCTTGTGTGAGCACTGGGAGGGGAGTTCTTATCATTATGCCAACTTTACCAATGAGGGAGAATGGGTCAGATAGATGGTTTAGATTTATGATGCCCAACAGCACCCATGCTGTGTCCAAGGGGAAGCCTGGCCCTGGGGACCCTTGAGGTCCCAACCTGCAGCTCCTTGGGCCCTGTCTTGTGCTGTGGGGGTGGCAACCATCCAGCCAGGGGATGCAGCCTTCTCTGCTCCCTCTCAGATCCAGAAAACATGGGCATGGTGCATCCTACTCAGAGCAGGGGCCCCAAATGTAGATATGACTAAGAGACCACCCGAGAGTCCCAGATCTGGGGGTGACAGAGGCCATGGGACCACCTTACCATCCTCGCTGAAGATGGGAGCGGTGTGCAGGTAGTGGGTGATGCTGGGGTCTTGCTCAAAGGGACACTCCACTTGTTTCCATGTGATGAACTCTCCAACCTGCTTGGCCAGCTCCAGAAATTTCTGCCAGGGTCATAGAGACACAAAATGGGAGCGCCCCAGTGCCTGGAGGTCACCTGTAAGAGTGGGCCAGCCCCACCCATCTCTCCTAGGGAGGCCCACCTCCAGGGAAGGCAGGGCAAAGCACCAGGCAGTAAATGACAAAATCCCCCAACGGGAATGGTGGGTGTTTGCTGTATCTCTTCATTCCCTCTGAGGAATCTGGGGAGAGAGCATCTTGGGCTCATCAGCAGCAGGCAGTGCATTCAGCTAGACGTAAATATTACTCTAGTTTACTTCTATTAATTTTTGTGATTATCCTTACAAGTTTGTTTATTTAGAGAATGATGCAAATAAATGTACATAAATATATTTAAGGAAGATTAAAGTAAATCCATTTAAGTAGAATTTTATTTAAGTAAACTTTAAGTAAATTTATTTAAATAAAAAAAAAACGGTGCTAACTTGAAGGATTTTAAATAAAGAGCAGCACCAAGTCATGCCTGGGTGGAAACTGTCCTCTGTGGCATCCTTTGATCAGTCCTGGTGGCCGGCTCCAGCCCCCACTGCCTGGGCCCCAAATCTGGGGCCACACGAGCACCTTGCAGTCTTGCCTTTCATCCCTTGATCCCTTGGCCTCGTTTGGAGGACCAGTCCAAGAAGGGCCCAGTACAGGGCTTCCCACACCTGCTATGTGTAGGCTCTCCTGGACAGTCCAGTCCAAGCCCCCCCGGGCCCCTGCAGCCCACCCAAGCCCAGCCTCCTCCGTGTCACCTCCAGCCCAGGCTGCCCCAGGGATGCAGCGCCCAGGCTGCCTCAGGGGTAGCCAGGCCTGCCTGGGGCACGTGAAGATCTGCTGGGGGGTCTGTGTCTGTGTGAGACCCCACAGCACACGCAGCTCCAGGCCAAAGGGCCCAGGTGTTGGGTGGGTGGGCCCCCCCCCCTCCGGCCGGGGACACCTGCAGGGCAGCTGTGGTTGAAGCCCCGCTTTACAGAGGGAGAGACTGAGGCCCACAGAGAGCAGGGGCCAGCCCAGACTGACTGCCCCATGGTGTTGGAGGCTGGGTGGAGCCGGCGCTAGGGTGCCCCAGCCCTCCCCGTGGAGAAGAGCCTCGTCCTTCCTGCCGACTGGGGCATGCCACCGCTGCATGGCATGCTTTGGTCTGACTCAGTGACCGCTTGCTCTCACTGCCCAGTGTTCTCAGGGCTCCTGGGCCTTGGCCCCACCATGCCTAGCCCACCGGCCCCTCCAAGACATGTGTGCCGGGTGGTCCTATGTGGGAGGTCAGCCTAACTTTGTTTCTAAGGAGCTGTGAGGGAGGAATGCACAGCCCACTGAGCACAGGCCTCCCTCTGTCCGGGCGGTCAAAGGGGGCTTCCTGGAGGAGGGGACACTCGAGCTGGTGGCAGTGAGTGTCTTCAGAGGGAGTAGAAATCCTTCTTTCCCTCTGCCCACTCTGCCTGACCCCCTCTTCGGGGGCTCAGGGGCCCTCCTTTGGGAGGCCTCCCCTGGCCCATGCCCTGTGCCCCATCCTAGCACCTCGCCCGTTGTCACTGTGGGTCTGTGGGGCTTTCTCCTAGCCTGGTGCTCTTCAAGGGCTGAAAATGAGTCTGCCTCACCTGTGGGTGGGCAGTGGGGGATCAAGGAGCCTCAGTCTCCTCCTGTGGAAGGGAGAAGTGGGGGGTGGGGGGGACCCTGGTAATTCCGCCCCGATGTCTTGTAAACTGCGGCACTCTGCCTCGAGTCCCCATTAGTCCAGCACCCCTGTCCTGGGGGCTTTGACAGTCCGAGGCCCTTGGACCCTACCTCAAAGTTGACGTGTCCATTGGGGAGGCGGTTGGCACAGCCCTCGTTCAGGAAGTAGATGTCCTTGATGAGCAGGCTGAAGAAGGGAATGACGATCTGGAAGGGAGAGGATGCCGGCCAGCCCTCAGTCAGCAATGGCCAGACTGTTTCCTCCCAGGCCCCATCAGACTCCAGTGCTGACTGAGCGCCTACTGTATACGGTGCCATTCCCCCTGTGTTGGGGTTGGATCAAAGATGCACGGTCCCAGTGCCCCTTGAACATTTCTTCCACTGCCCGCTGGGAGAAGCTGTGGCAGTTTGTCCCCACAATCCAGGGATCCACAGACCTAGGCCCCCTGGTTCAAGTGCTCCAGTTGGAATACAGGTGCATGCGGAGGCTGCCATTAAATACATACGGAATGTGAATCATCTGTTGCACAGGTCTGTGGCCTACTTTTAAAAATATATATTTAGGGATTTGTCATTTTATGCCTGATGCTAGAGATCCGATCCTGTTGCATCCCTGTTCCGGTGCCTGAGGGGACCGACTTCTGAGCTCAGCCTGAGAAGGGTGGGGGTCTCTGTGTGTCACTGCTGGATGCCTTGCTTCTCTCTCCGTGCTCTGCACAAAAGCCAACTGCTGACCCCTAGAGAAGGGACACTCACTGCTGACAGCTCAGACAACCCTCGGGGAACTGGCTGCTGTGGGTTGAACTGTGGCCCCCCAAAAGATATGTTCCAACCCTAACCCCCAGTGCCTGTGAACGGGACCTTATTTGGAGATAGATAGTCTCTGCAGATGGGACTGAGTTAAGATGAGGTCACACCGGGCGTGATGAGCTCTAGTCTAGGGACTGAGGTCCTTGAGGAAAGAAGGCAATTTGGGCATACGCAGCAAAGAGAGCCATGCAAAGACGGGGGCCAAGGAGGGAGGGACTGGCCACTGGCCAAGGAATACCTGGGGCCACCAGAAGCTGGAAGGGGCCAGGAAGGATACACCCTTTGGAGGGAACATGGCCCTGACAACCTTGATTTTGGTAGCTGGCCTCCAGAACCAAAGGAGATAATACATTTCTGTCATTCCAAACTACCCAGTTGGTGTGCTTTGTACGTCAGCCCTCAGGGACTAATACACCTGCTCTGCCCTTGGGCTCCAGAGTTATGCACCTGCTGCCAGGCCAGCCAGGAGCAGCCTCCAGCCCATCACCTTTGGGACCAGGCACCAGGCCCTGATGTTTCTGGCTCTCTCCCACCCCCGGCCCCCCGCCACCCAAGTTGACAAGGGCTTTGAGGTGAGGACCTGGGCGTGACCACGCTGCTCAGTACAGAAGCATGGACGGCTCGATGGGGCAGGGCAGATGGGAGACTGAGGCCCACAGAGCAGCAGGGCCTGGCCCAAGGTCACCCCGTGAGTGAACACTGGGGCTGGGACCTGAGCCAGATTAAGCGGGGAGACCAGTTGCCTGGTTCGTCCAGGACCGAGGGGTGGTGGGCCTGAGGTCTTCACTGTGCCAAATATTCCATGCACGGGGATCAGAGTTTCATTCCTAGCAAGTTCTGTGAAGCAGGGCTCTATTACCTCACCTTAGGACAAGAAGCCGAGACCCAGAGAGGTTAAGCAACTCATAAAAGCTCACACAGCAATAAGTACCAGAGGCAGGACTAGGACCCAGGTGGCTTGGCTCCAGAGCCCCTGTCTTGCTGGCTTCCTCCCTGTGCCAGGAGGGTGGGTGGTCTCTGTGCATCTCCCCCACACCCCACCACTGGTGCTGAGCCCCAGGCCCAGGGTCACTGCATGATGGTTGCCCGGGGTTGGAATGGGGAGATGGGCCAAGACAGGGAGGGGATTAAGGGCAGTGGGACTCTGTGGACAGAGACAGCTCCTCAGGGGCCCGGAGCAGGCTTCCTGGACACTGGGCACTGGGGCTGGGCCTCAGGGAGGTAGCGTTTTCCATGTCTGAGAACTTCTCACCATTTCTGCCTGTCCACGTGGGTCCAGGCTACCATCCTATCAGGCTTTAGCATCCTGGCTGGCAGGACTGTAACCCACTGCCCTTGCTTTCTGGAGCTGAGCAGTTCCATCTGGGGGTCATCCGAAGAAGCCTGTGTGGAGTGGGCCCCATCACAAAGATGGGGGAGAGGAGCAGGCAGGAAGAAAGCATAGAATGCCGTGACCACTGGAGCCTCCTGGCCTCCAGATTTCAGCTGGGGCAGCCGGGAATTGCGAGAGCATCTGCAAGCATCCTTCCTTCCTTGCTTCCTTCCCTCCCTCCTTCCTTCCTTCCTTCCCTTCCTCCTTCCTTCCTTCCCTCCTTCCTTCCTTCCTTCCCTCCTTCCTTCCCTCCCTCCTTCCTTCCCTCCCTC